ATCTCTAATGATGTCGAAATCTTCATTTGCCTTTGTCCACGATGGACCCCCTCAGGGTGACACTTTATCGTATAGACTGGAATGCTGTTTACCACTCTCCTGATTAAACACTCCTCAAAGGCCATGAGAATGTCAAATTTAGAATGTAATTGCGCATATTGTGGCACCGTTATATCACTAGTATTGCATTAGAACTGGTACGCTATGACACTTTGACAAATACACAATAGCGCAATATACTGTACCATGGCATACGTGCAGCATATTAGGGGACTATACTCATGGCAAAAGTCGCGTATGTGGAATTGGCGAAGGGAAAGCAGTACATAATATTTGGTATACTTTGTGGGTTCACCGCCCGATCCAATCAGCTTGTCATGACGTGGTCATGCGAGTACAGACATGTTGCTAGTTGTGCAAAGCCTACCGCACCTGTTAAGCAGCTACATGACATTTATTTACCCGACCTACCTATTTATTTCAAGTCTTCTACTTATGCTCAAGCATTCCCAATTCCACAAGCAGTGTACACAGTAGCCAAGTATTCATAGTATAGTGCTTTGGACTCTTGGAGAAAAATAACCTGAATGTATGTGTTGAGCGTGAAAACAGGAGCAACTAATGAATTAAACCACTTGATACTCAATATGTTTAACACTTTTTTCTCAAAAGCCAACCCAATTTGAGTTGGTGGAATTGATGCGAAATCAACAAAAGTCAGTCAGGTATGACAAAGACCTGTATTTATTTTCAGCAGATATCCACAATGAAAGGACAAAAAAAAATGAATGAAGACTTATTCATTCCTTCCACCATGGCAACCTGTAGCATAAAAGATATGTTTTATGAGCGCCAGTTGCGATCCTTGTTATTTCAAGAGGATGAAAGCCTTGGTCACGTGTACTGACTTACGCAATGGTTTGAGGCAAGGACAATCGCCATGCAAGTAAATACGACTCCAGAAATCACAGCCCTTGGCGGCGATCCACTGGTTGGAACAGATGTATTAATAAGGATACAACTCAATACGCATACGTCGCTCAACTCCGAACTTGGTAGCAACGAGCGTTAACTAGTGCCTCATTGTGGCCCACTCAACTACTACATGCATGCTGTGGTGCAGTAGACGACAAATTGGCTTCTAAATTAACTTTATTTTTGCAGGCCTGATTCGTTTGACTGCTGTTGGTTTTATCCTAATGGCGAAGGGAGTGTAACTTGCAGAATGCTGACGTTAGACTCGAAAAGACCACTTTGTGAAGACATTGGGAATTTTAATATTCTTCATAAACACCTGAACCCTACGGTGAGCAGCTTTGCATCAAAGCAGGGTGTTTAGTAAACAGGGAAGGGCAGGCCATGTCGCAGTAGAAATCATTAGTGAGACCTAGATTAGAAAGCATTGCTGGGTTATAGAATGATGAGATTTGGCCTCGCACGCATGTACTATGATATGACATTTTGTGCAAAAGGCTGTGATACCAATATATGAGCCATGAGCGACCACTACCATCAAATTCGAGCTCTCCCATCAACACAGCTCTGAATTTACGCATCGAAATGCAACAGACATGGAACGAACCAAACTTACTTGACGGCATTGTTTGTACGCGAGCTGAAAAATAATTAACAGTAATACCATTTGCATGCAGCTTGATTTTTACATTGTATGCTGTGTTGGGGATCAAGCCTTCAAGAGTAGCCTCTCCATCTGCGACTAATACAATTTTCTTCTTTATATCGCTAGGGTTGGAAGTCGGATCCACAAGTCCTTCAATTTCTCCTATTCTGCCTCGATCAACATCTTGGGAACTCCACCCTATCTGTACTGTGTCAGTGGTCACGTTTTTCAAATAAAATGGTCCCAGTCAGCCGCCTTGGCAAGGTTGTCTCTCCTTCTGTCTTTGACCCTATAACAGGAAGAAGGTGCTACTCAGCAAACATAATCACAGTATTTCCCTTTACTTGGATGCAGAATTATATAAAGATTAGCAGATTTGTTTTGTAAAATAGTGAGAAATATCCCGCCAAATGGAGAGAGCATACATGAGACTGTCGCATCTATCATAAAATAGGTATAATCGCCTATGAATGTGATGACCAAAGTGAAGCCTCTAAAGGAATAGCTTTTGGGGATTGTTTAGGGACGAGTGTGACGATGCGGATTGTGCTCATATTGAGTTTACGTGATCGCGCCTCTTCGAATGCATTAGATAGAGGTCCGAATTTAAGTGAAAATGCAAGTATCACGCACTCGTTCTTGATAGCCGGTGCCAATGTACAGATTGATGAAATTACGATTGATATCAATGGCTCCGCAAAAGTGGGTAGTGACTGTGGTGGTCATGCCCACCGCTAAAGACATCAATGGCAGTAGATAGACACGAAACCGCAATATGTACGCACATACCCTACACAGGGTGGTAAAGTCATGCATATAATCCTTCGGAATGTATCACCTATCTCCAGCATAAACCCCTTCCTACATCTTGGATTGGGATTCGCTTCCTACATTTCTTCACATGTTACAGAAGATATGTCACTTGAGTGTACGCAGAGAAGTTCATTATTAGTGTAGCAATGTACTACCTACCACAAAATGCACAAATTTTAAGCAATCATATATGCGCGATGCACTGCGGCATACTAATCTGCTCATTCCCACATTGCAGATGTCATTCCCTAGGTTACATAAATACTAAGAGGAATGAAGGAGGAAGAAGAAGAGCAGGAGAAAGTGGAGGCTAAGAGTATGCTCAGCTTTATAGTGGTTTTAAAAGACTAGATGTGTTTGAATTATAGCTTCTGATTTTCATAGTTTACTCTGCACCCGTTGGTGAACATTCATTACCTAGGTTGTGTGCGACATGCAAATCGTGCTACAGTAAAGGCAGGTAGAAAATGGCGTGGATGGCTACAACTCGCCGCAACATGGATTCACTCGGATCTAGCAAAATCATCAAATGGAACACCAATAAATTGTCTTTAATCGCAGCATCAGAACAAAGAAAATAGTGATGTAACAAATCCTACTGCTTGGAAAATGCTTACTCAGGCATGCAGATTTGAGTCAAATACTAGAAGGCAACTTACCCTTCTCAGCCAAAACGAATGCTGCCAACACAATAAGGCGAAAAATTTCCTCAACATTTTTAATGCAGAAGTGTTTTGCATTTACAAATTCATGACGCATTTATAGGAATGCTCCACAATTATAGCAGCCTATTAGATATATTGCTTCTGACCTACATACCCACTTTCGAATTGTATGTTTAACATGCTGAAATGTGTAGGCGGGCTCACGTACAACTCTCTCGCCTAGTGTCATTAATGTGAATGGAGACGCAGCTTGCGGGTAGGCTTTCGTGACACTCTGGCGTGGGGTGCTGTGCAAAGCCTTTCAAAATCATCATCAACTTACAAAAAAATTCCTTTGTTATTTAGGTGCTCTTCATCACTGAGTGAAGGATGGGACCGCATTTTTGGTTCCATGGCCACATTTATCCAATATTTAGCATAGTAGGC